TGGGGTAGGAATCCCAATTTTACAATTGTATAGCCTCATCTACCAAGTATGATTCTCGCCAAGTTTGAAAAAATTCCATCCATTGGTTCTTGAGAAGAAGTCAAAAATGTAAACTGTCTAAACTGAAACTTGTACAAATCGCAACATTCATCCAGGTTTATCTACATGGTTTTCTACTTACACTTGACTTTATAATCTGATACTTGTTTACCAGACCTTCAGCTGGTCTGACATCCCCATATCTGCTTCTTTTTATAAAAATTGAACCTGCTACTTGAAGTTATTGAAAAACCGATTTCCCTTTATTTCATTTAGTTGCATGTACCTTACACAAAGTTGCAAATCTATTTTCCTTCTGAAAGTAATAACATTATTGATTACGACAGTCCTAACTGTAATGAACAATAGTAATTAAGACCGTCCTAATAGTCATTTACATCACTGTTTTATGATGATTTTAACAATAGGTTGTGGTATTGTTTACCTATAGCTGACATAAATCTGTGAAGTAAATGTCCAAAACGTTTGTTGGTATCTAGTACTACCTGTCACAGCATTTGTAGTACCATAGGTTTTTCTTATTTTTTTATGCTTCATATTTTTTTTCTTTCCATACCATTATATTCCCAAGGACATATGAACTCATGTTTCATGTGATCTGTACTTGAATGTCATATGCATTAAGTTATAAATTTGTTCCTAAGATGATGACATGATTTTAATTGATATTGTGCAACATGAATTTACATAAAAACAAATGTCAAAACAAATTAAGTCACATGCAGTATTTTGAAAAGATTGGCCATGTAATGTCCTGAAACAGGACAGTACTTGATTGAGAAAATTTTAAATTATTTATTCAAAATGTATCCTTACAGAAGGAATTTGTTAGTTTCAAACATTTTAATGATTTATCGTATATGGAACTCCTAAAGTCATTGGATTCTGTTTACGGTTACACCTCGTATTCATAAATTACACAATTGTAACATTCAAATTATGTAGCTATTCCGTCTTTGCGTATTGCAGAGTTATCTTCTCTTGTGAATAGGTATTGATTGTTACGTCATTTGTTTGTGAGAGTAACATCATCAATTTGTGAGAAAACGACATAATTTTCTCATAAAAACCAATGACGTAACAATCAATACCTGCTCACAAGCGAAGATAACTCTGCAATACGCTAAGACGGAATAGGTGTTGAAAGGCAATATTTCTTAATAAACCCTAACATGGGAGTTCTACCCGAGGGTGTAGAATTTGGAAACTCTGAACACACATGGTTAGAAATTCTATTACCCCGGGACCCACAACAAATGTTAACATAGACTGATTGATTAACATTCTCTCTCAAATCTTGGCTTAGAAGGTTATTTCTTTTCTACATGTCATTACCATAATACATGTAGGCGGGTAAATCAATATAAAAGACTGTCGAGATCCACTAAACATGTTCAGTTGGAAAAACCCAATAAGTGTAAGGGTAAAATATCTGGAGCGTTTGCATGTTATGAAATTACTGCACGTGTATAAAGCCATGCGTTCATTAACCCAACGCCACCTTTGTTTGGTAGAGTACGAGAGTTCACGTTTACCGTAATTGAGACACGTAGGCTATGAAAACATCTGCGTCTAACTGGCACGATACCTGTAGCTCTGATTAGCACTTAGGTAGATCTAGGTAAGCCATGAATTTTTTAAAGGTTTGTGGTGGTCTTGTATTTATCACAATCATATAACGGCCAGCATTTTGCTGGTGTGTATTTTATCAAGCACATGTGGGTATTTAATTTATTGTCCCTAATTTGAAAGGTCATAAATTACTTGATTTTATGGGCCATTATAAATATTACAGCTTGAAGGAACTTCAGTTTAAATGTTTAGGCCTTGTCTGATGCAGTTATAGTGACTGCTTCAAAACACGACATCAAAACCAGATCAGCTTGTATTAAGGATCAGATATTTATTTGCTTTGTTTTTTTAAGAGGTAATCTTTGTATATTTTTGTGACAATTAGGCACGTGTGGTAATCTTATTTTCAATAACTGTTAATAACACCACCAAAAGTAAGGCGTTATTTATAAAGTGGTAATCTCCTAATTTAATCAATTAAATGGTTTACAAAGATAATCAAAAAAACAAAAGCAGGTTCACCAGATCATGACCCTGAGCAATTTGTATCTATGTTATTACAGAGAGATCTACATCCACCAGGAATTAAATGTAGCAATGTCTCTGGGTTATGGGGTTATTGGGTCACCTGCCCAACTATGTGGGTTGTCTCCGGGTACTCCTGTGCCTCCCACATTTATAAGACCCCCTTTGACGCTAACATATAAGTTGTTATAACTTGTTTCATTGTTTTGTAAAATAAATACAGTTTACATATCGTACTTAAGTGGTTAATTTTCTCAGAAAAGCAGGGTTTCTGTTGATTCCATTTTTAGGGACTAGATCTTGTGATTACAAAAAATCATTTAGCAAAGTCTAGGATGTTGAAATTGTATTGAAGCCTTTTAATCACATCTGGGCACTAATGGCAGAGCTTCTGTGTTGTCATAAATAATTAATTTATAAGAACTTTTTTAAAGAAAATTTTAATTCAATCTTAACCTTAATTCATTTGCTGTCAAGTAAATTATTTGTGTATTCAAATTTCCTGAAAATACACATAAAGTCAAACATTTGTTCATGAATTTAGTTTAGATAAGTGCCACTTATTTTTTATGATTTTTATTTTAATCAATACCCTCCTGAACAATGACAACGGAGCCTTATGGTAATAAGTCGCAGTTACTGTAGGTCCATGTATTTATTATACCCGTGATTTCTCTATAGGTCTTTTTCATGTGTTGGTGATCTTACTTGACATGTTAGGTGTAGTATGTAGGATATATGGATACGAGATGTGATAGCCCTAGATGTTACAGAGTAAATCAATACTCGGATACAGAATTTCGAGGTCAAGAGTTGTTACGGCATTCTAACTATACAACGTGTATCCAAATCTCCCAGATCCATAGACGCATAACAAAGAAAACAATATCTCTCATGTAACATACATAGTAGAAATTTACTTACTATACATTAAAAGTGCAGGCCTAGTAGGCATGTTAGCTCTCCCAGCTTGCCTAAACATCCAAGCAGGTTAGGTTAATCCATTGATACCCTGCCAACTGTAAACTTTTTCTTTGAATCTCTTTTTCTGATCAAGAACTACAAAGCCAAAGCAACTAAAGGTTGAAAGTATCATAGATGACAATGATTCAGATTTGTGAAAACAAAGTGCTGGCCCCTTCTAGGGGCCCATATATATAAAGGGGCAATAAAAAGTTGAAAAGTTGAAGCATCTAAAAAGATCCTGTACCAAACCTAGCCAGCAGTCAGATAAATTTGATATTTCTTGTATATCCCCCTTAGTAAATGTACTACAAAATGCAAAGAAAAAATCTGTTTATAGTATGTAAACATGAGGAGTAGGGGAAGTGGGTTTTGCAGTAGATTAATAGTGGAATTATTTTCATGTTTACAAACACTTGAACGTCTTCTCCTGGAGAGCCAAACTGCCTACCTGGTAGTCTTGATATTAGGCCTGCAGATAGTTGGCATGGAGTACTGCAAAGTTTGGGGAAAATCTGTTATAACATTCAAACAATTCCTTCCAGGGAACCAAAAGAGTCATGACATATATGGCCAGGTGCTTTCTGACTTCTAGTAGTACAAAGTTAAAGAAAAGAAAATACCTATATATGTGTATTCAATACCATTAACTCTTTGTGAAGAAGTTAAAAGCCAGCAGTTATAGTATGTGTCCAGAATGCTGAAGTGTGTGTCAAGAATGCTGAAGAGTTTGTAAAAGCTAGAAACAACCTGGACTCATATTCAAGGTCATAGGGGTCTAATTTGTAAAAACACTTGAACAACTTCGTTTGAAGAACTTGAAGGCCTAAAGTCATGATGTTTGGCCTTTAGCTTTCTTGCATGAAGTGCTTCAAACAAATGACCTTGACCCATATTCAAAGTCATATGGGTCAAATCTAGTATAACAGTCTAATGGCTTCTTCAAAAAATTGTAGAGTCATGATATTTTATGAAGCTGAAGTGAAATGCTGCAAATGTTGTGAAAGGATTTACCTTGATGCTTATTCTAGGTCACAGGGTCAAATGTATTTAAATATCCACACAATTTTTCTCAATAATAGAAATGGTTAACTCCTGATGTTTGGTTGGTACACATGAAGCTTGCTTGCAATGATTGCCAAAAAGAAATAACATTGACCCATATTCTAGGCCACATGTGTCAAGTCTGTTAAAAAATCCATTGACTTATTCTAAAGAACAAAACTCATGACTTGTTATATAGCTCTATAATTATTTTGAAAAAACAAGTGAACCACTTAATTCAGGCCCCTTGGGCCTCTTGTCTGGATGTTCTTATTATAGGAACTGTTATTTTTAAAACTTGTTATGTTACTAATTCGGGAACACTCTATGAACATCTGGGAAATAGTTATTCAGAATTAAAAACAATAAGTTTTTCTTTCAATAACAAAAGCACATTTGTGACATTTTTAGCTCACCTGGCCCGAACATTTTAGTAATTTCAACATTGCTCAAGCTAAACCAAACCCTGTATAAACCAACAAAGGTTTCCTACCAACAAGTCATATTTAGTCAGCTGGACAGGTCAAACTTTCAGATTGTAACCATGGAAATGATATCAATTAAGCTAAACTTAAACAGTATTATGTTTCTGCACTTTATAAGGCTGGTATCATTGTTTATTTGTCTAGAAAATGACTAGATAAACATTAATATAAGAATAGGTACTGTAGATTGTAGCTTTGTGTATTTCAATAATTTTTGTATGAAATTGGTCAAAAATTCACTTTTCTGCTAGTAAAATGTTTACCTGAACCATGAAGTATCGTTTCCTTTCTGCAATGTGTTTTTTTTATAAATTATCACTGTTTATTTGATTGTTTTGTTTCGTTTTTCAGATGTCTGAGGATGCGGTGGATGCCTTTGAGAAATGCTGTATTTGTGACCTTGACCTTAGATTTAAAAGTACACTTTGTGTGACCTTGACCTTCACTTTGTGTGACCTTGACCTTGGATTGTATTGCAAGCTGTGTGTGACCATAGCCCTGGATTGTGTTACCTGTGAGTTACACTGTATGTGATCTTTGCCTTGTATATCTAAATCAAGATATGTGTGAACTTCACCTTTCAATACATTTAAAGATATCTATGTGACTTTGACCTTGGATTTTATTATGAGCTGTATGTGACTTTTCAACACCTTGGATTGTGACCTTCACCTTGGATGGTAGTACTAGTTTTAATGGTGCAGTACCTATACCGTCATCGCCGTTTGACGTCATCGTCTGTGATATATCCTCCTCTTTAATTTTGTCATCTTCTGTCTCATCAACTGAGTATTGCTCCTGCATAGTAATTTTTGTTGTTTTGTTGTTTTGGTGTTAAAACTAGTCTGACGTATAGGAATAATGAAAATACATCTGTTGAGTGACACAATTTACAATATGAATGAAAACGCCAAAAATAATACAAGTCAGTTGCCATGGAAACCTATAAATGTTTGTAAGAGTGTTTGTGTTTGTCTGCAATGTTAGATTTTTGTGTGTAAAATTTAATAAGATTGTGTAGCTCCCTGAATGAGACATATCAATGTACACTACTGTAGTTGATACTTTTTAAATTAGTGCTAATATATTAGTACTTATTGAAGTGATCTTTGCATTAAAATACATTCAATCTTATGTTTACGTTTCTCTATAGATCATCATTTAAAATAACCAAAAAGTTCAAATTATTATTTCTAGAAGATCTTTAAGAGGCTTTTTTGTATATGTCTTTTGTAATTAGGAGATGTGATAATGTAAGGAACTCTCTTGTAAAGAAGATGGCATAATACTAATACTACATATTATTCTTTAGAAACCTGGGACATGCATGCATGGTGACAATGATAATAAGATATCTTAACTTGATGGCTCTTTATACATGATGTTCCGCAATAACTTTGCCATTTACCACTTGTGAAAAATATCTCCTTGAATCATTAAATTCCATAGAATCACATTTCTCTGTTTATAGTGCATATATTGTATCTGGAAAGAAACAATTTTTTTTGAAACTTGGATGTTTTTGAAACAATATGTTCATGTTCTTACTGAGTTGTGCATTGTGATACAACAGGTAGACTAGTTGATTCTATACCTGTCACCATGCCACTGCATCCTACCCAGAGAAAAGCACAGATACTCTGATACTTGGTTTTGAGATCATTCACCCCTAGGTAACTTTGGTAGACTCAACCATACATTGATATGGATGAGTCCATTATGGTCTACAGTGGTGAAAGGGTTAAAAGCAATTTCTTTTTGGTAAATTAAATCAAAGACAAATTCTACCTCCAAGCCTGTGGCATAACTGATAAAAGAAACCTGACACTGCACAGAGCAATAAATGGTGCATTTAGAAAGTTAATTACGGTAAAATCTTAACATGTACATTTTATACTTGTGTATATTTTACTCTTCGTTTGTTTATACATGAATCCGTCCATTTCAATGTTTTCAAGACACTGTGTTTATTTTTATACTTTATTGTACTGATTGAAAGCTCAAGTAGCTAGATTGATGTGTTGTTATTCAAAGTTTATTTCTTTTATTACTTTTGAACCAGAACTTTAAGGGGTTTATAAATTCTCATTTAAGATATAGGGTTCACCCGTTGTCAGTATAATGTGACCGAGCGAAATGCTGCGCTGTGTGCCTTCAGCATGGTATTTCAATGAAATGTCACTCTGAAGTTGGCATCAGATCTGTGCTATCACAAGGAGGCAACTACACCAACATACCCTGTCTCCAGCACACATGCACACAAGCAAGCATGCAATACACATGGAGCTTTAGAGGTTGATACACAGTTGTAGGACGTTAAACAAAATAAAACTAAACCAAACCTTGACAATTTTTGGTACGTGTGAACATAATTTCTGTTAAAATAGATTAATTAAGTGAAACGTTAGGAAAACAAAGTGGTTAAAATTGTATTGTACATATGTGCAAGCGAGCATAATCAGAAAACATTTACATATATAAATTGTTACAGAAATTATTACTTTGACCGGTGGATATTTGGTAGAACAAAGGATATTACAGACTAACTGATATATATGGCCTATATAACTGCTCTATGTCAATATAACCTCAGGGTCAGCCCTAATATCATACTCTCAAACTCAAATCAAAACATCTTGTATATTGACATGTCAGTTTTTAATTATTCAAAACCAGAATTTGTTTCTATACAGGATACTAGAAATTGTTTTCTGTCTCATAGAAAATCATTGTTTGCTGCACCTGGGCCATTTTGTTTTATCACTTGGTTTGTATATTATTGTTTTTGTTTTGTATAGAAGGTTAGTTTTCATCAGTATCACCTTGATCGGGTGGTCGGGTGGTGTAGTGGATAGCGCACTTGCCTTTCACCAAGGCGGCCGGGGTTCGATTCCCCGATCAGACGTGAAAAGGTATGGGGACACCTGCCCGACCACGTGGGGTTTCTCCGGGTACTCTGGTTTCATCCCACACAAAGACCCCCGCACGCTAACATCCGGGCAAACAAGAGTGATTAATTAATATAAGTTGAATAACTTGTTTCATAATTGTTGTAAAATGAGTAAAGTTTATATATAACAGTACATGTATCACCTTGATCAGTAATAAACAAAACAAGCTATAAATGACAAAATATGATCCGTTTTAAATCTCTCACACACACTTAAAGTTGACATGCATATAAGCAATTTAAATTTTAAATCTTTTCAAAACAATACATTTATAGTATTCATGGAAATTCAACTGCAACATTAATTGTATCCACTGTTTTGCGACAGATTGTGGCACGGTAACTTTAATCACTAATTATGATCAGGATGCTCCTTAAATTAATATGATACATGTATAGCCGGAGTTTCCTCAATGCCCTGTCTGGTCTATCTGTCAAAATGTCTAAGTCTGGTGTCAGAGCCAGAGGAAACTCGGGCTAACCTATATATTGTCTGTTTCTATGTGTTATTCAGTCTATCATATTGGTAGACATAAGTATGTTCTTTAAGTTTCATTTTTCATCATTGAAGCATAAACAGATTTTAATATTTTTACAAAAATGTTTCTATAAAACACAGTACATGTGATGTTTCTATTTCTAATTCAATGTTAAATGTTTTAATTTATTTATTGATTTTACACAAAATCTTGTTAATGTTTTCTGTCGACGTCCCCACTTTGTGAGGTAATTGAACATGTTGAGTATTTATAATATATTTATTTTTTAAATTGTGCATTATGATGGGATAATAATTATTGGCACAGGTTTAACACAGTCATGTCAATGTTGAAATTTGAATGTTATATACATTTAAAAATATTTCTCCATTGTATTTTCATGATTGTATGTTTTCCTGACAGCTCAAGGGTTTTATTGATGACAAAGTTTGTTTTGAATTGAAAGACAAAAACTTGGTCATACTTAAAAAGATATCAATCTCAAATAAACAAAATTCAAACAGACTGATTGCTTTTGATTACCTTTGAGGTTTAATCCTTGCATGATATAATGAGTGTTGAGTTGAATTATAGGAGTCTTTTGAAAAATTTCTGTTGGCAAACATATATACATGGTCCGCGGGAGCATTTTGTAACTTCATTGTAAATGAGCTAATCTCTAATACTAAGGAACAGCGGTGTCAACATAACTAGCTTCCAATTTGTATCAAAGGTATGGTTTCAGCTTGAGCTAACAGATTCCCGAGGTATTGTGTGTATTTTTATTTCATGTTGACAGAACAACAGGTCTGACATTATGTACATGTATACGTAATATGTGAAATGGAATTCTACAACATTTTGAACCCAGTCGTTAAGTACCTTAGTCAGATGTATTTAAGTTAATCAATACAGTTATTTCTCAAATCAATAGTATTTGGAATTATTTATCATTTTTAAAAGATGTTAGTGTTTCTGGCCTAACCAGATGAGGATTTTGAACTTCTATACATGTATACATTTAAAGTTAATTTATGAATTTTATTTTTTTATTTTTTTTTTAAATATTGTACCTGTACCTTTTTTGTGTTTATGACTCGTTAAGCTTACAATGCAGATTTGGAACAACTGGACTTGGACACTGTAAAATTTGTGTAAATCTCCCGAAATCAGTGCTGTCTCAGATCAATATATTTATGTAAAATCACCATGATCTTACCTAATCATACCATTCCGATTCAAATAAAACATCTTGATTTTGAACATTGTAAACTAATTTGTAAAACATTGTCTGATATGACCCTGAAATAAAAGTTGGAGAAAATAAAGACCTAATATAGTTTGTTTTAAAAGACTGTACATTTGTTTTAAAGGACTAGGGGCGATATTGGGTCAATTCATTCATTATATCTTTCATGAAAAAAAAAATCGTTTAGATATTTCTGCCTTGATGAGGCATCCCTATTCTTTATCAGGGCCATGCAAATGTTTTTCATATGTATGTCAACTCTTCATGTATAATGCATTTTACAAACAGCCAGCATCAGCTGCAGATACATATCTATATATACACACTCTCGGGTAACGGAGTTCTACTGTTCAATATGTATTCCTCCGTCACACCAAGATGTTAAAGGTCTCTGAAATTTTTGTCGCCAGCAGATTATTGATTGGAATATCGAACAGAGGTATGATGTTATCAAGCTTTGTCATCAGTGATTCAGGTACCAGTACACAACAATATACTCTGGAACAATGAACAGGACATCATGTAACTTTGATGTTATAATGACAGGTTCAATAGTGCTAGATTACATTATTGATAATATAGACCTACAGGAATGCGGTACAGCATGTACTTTTATGTCAAGATGATTTAAACACTTCAAAAGTTTTCTTTTATTTCATTGAAGTTCTGGTATGGTTTTTTAACTCGAAATTATTTTAATTGCAAGTAGCAACTTGCACATCACAATCTGAATATTTATTTGATTTCTTGTTATTTTTCATTTGTCTGAAAAAAACACCTTTCTTATTTTCAAACCTAAAGTCATCCGTGTGTATATATGTAAAATGTATCCAAAACCTATACGCCTGAACAATTTAAATTCCGGAATGTATATCAATTTGTAACAAATTGATAAATAAATCTTTAATCAGAAAATGACAGGTAGAAAACTCTTATTGCATACATATATAATGACATTTAGATTGCTTTACAAAAACATTCTTTACATGTTGTGTCGGGCTGCAGGTACATGTAGGCCTACAGGTACACAGAATGTTGTGTCAGGCTCAAGGTACATGTAGGCCTACTGGGACACAGAATGTTAGGTCAGGCTCGTGTTACATGTAGGCCTACTGGGACACAGAATGTTGTGTCGGGCTGCAGGTACTTGTAGGCCTACTGGGACACAGAATGTTATGTCAGGCTCAAGGTACATGAAGGTCTACAGGTACACAGAATGTTGTCTCAGGCTCCAGTTACATGTAGGCCTACTGGGACACGGAATGTTGTGTCAGGCTCAAGGTACATCTAGGCATACAGGGACACAGAATTATATGTCAGACTCCAGGTACATGTAGGCCTACTGAGACAGAGAATGTTGTGTGAGACTCCTGGTACATGTAGGCCTACTGGGACACAGAATGTTGTGTCAGACTCCAGGTACTTGTAGGCCTACAGGGACACAGAATGTTGTGTAAGAGTTTCGGTGCATGTAGGCCTTCAGGGACACAGAATGTTGTGTCAGACTTCAGGTACATGTGGGCCTACATAGACAAAGAATGTTGTGTCAGACTTCAGGTACATGTAGGCCTACAGGGAAACAGAATGTTGGGGCAGGCTCCAGGGACATGTAGGCCTACATAGCCAAAGAATGTTGTGTCAGACTGCAGGTACATGTAGGCCTTCATAGACAAAGAATGTTCTGTCAGACTTCAGGTACATGTAGGCCTACATAGACAAAGAATGTTGTGTCAGACTCCTGGTACATGTAGGCCTACTTGGACACAGAATGTTGTGTCAGACTCCAGGTACTTGTAGGCCTACAGGGACACAGAATGTTGTGTAAGAGTTTCGGTGCATGTAGGCCTTCAGGGACAGAGAATGTTGTGTCAGGCTCCAGGTACATGTAGGCCTACAGGGAAACAGAATGTTGGGGCAGGCTCCAGGTACATGTAGGCCTACTGGGACACAGAATGTTGGGTCAGGCTTAAGGTACATGTAGGCCTACTGGGACACAGAATGTTGTGTCAGACTCAAGGTACATGTAGGCCTACTGGGACAGAGAATGTTGTGTCAGACTCCAGGTACATGTAGGCCTACAGGGACAGAGAATGTTGTGTCAGGCTCCAGTTACATGTAGGCCTACTAGTGTATCTATAAAGTCCTACCTAAAGCAATTAGGTTTTAACACTTGAAAGTCAGTATCGAACTACCACGGAATTAGATTATCTAAGTCGAGGGAACTACTTAAGTTTATTAAAAGGTGTATTAAACCCAAATACAATGTAGTCCCGACAATTTACAGTACGGTATAACTTAATCTAGGATGGTCATTGACAAATCTGTCTATGAGGAAACCAGCGTTTCCTGATGATTGCAAATTATACCATGCTAATAAGTAGATCTCTGCTGAAGGATCCCTGTCCCACTGCACTGTGGTTTTTTCAGTAACCTCCCCTTAACTTAACTTCCGTCGACAAGGTAGCTCAGTCTGTTACGATAATAAAGTA